TATATATATATATATTTGAAAAGTCTAAGGGCTGATTTTATTGAAATAGTGAAGTTACATGAAGGTTGTATTAGAGGGCCCAATAGAGGCACCCTACACATATGATACCAAGTACAGTAATATCCCAACTAAAAGATGCAGATAGACTCAAAAAATTAAAATTTGTAGAAAACAAGAAGTTAGGGACAAGCTAGTTGAAAAAAAAGAAGTGGCTAGAGACGAGCCAGTTTAGTCCTCCCTCTTATTCTAATTTTAGGAGCAGAGCCAGATAACAAACTTTGAAATGTCATGTCATTGTCAGGAGTAATCAAAGTATCATCCATTAAGTTTCCAAGTTGGAGTGCGCTCACAGTCTTCTTCCATCGAGAAGTGTAAACCTGTCATTCTTCATCTGAAGACTGATTCTTGTGATTCTCGATCTGATTAGATATTAAAACCACATTAGAAGGAAAGACAGTCGTTGGCGCAGCAATAGGTTCCAGTGTATGTGAAGTGTGAATTGTCACATCTGCACCTGATGCTTCCTGAATAAGAGCTGCGGGTTTATCCTGACATTTGGTCCGAACATTATCCCTTATAGTATGGTCAGGAGAAGGGTTCCTAGGAGCAAACACCATTTCCTGTCTTGTGGTGATTCCCTCCTCAAGTTGGCTGTCATCAGGTTTGTTGGGATCGTGTTCAGGCGCGTGGTAGGCACATGGGGTGCACTATTACTTTTGACTATTTGTTCTCAACTGTAGGTGCAATTTGAAACATTTCTCCTGCGGATGTCCAAACATCTTGCAGTGTTTATAGTAGTAAGGTTTTTGTTCTATAATGATTTTTTGCCAATAACCATTATGAGCAGAACCAAACCAGAATTCTTCTACATCTGGTAGTGTAATATCTCTTTCAATCAAAATTCTTACAGTAGAGGGCCTTGAAAAGTGAACTGTGAGTAAGTTTACCTATAAAGGTTTTTCAAGGTTTTCCAAGGATAATCTCAATTGCATATAAGATAGGTAAGTCAAATAAATGAAGCTTGAGTTCAGGTAATGAGAACCAGATAGACCCAATTGAGGGTTCTTGATTGTGATCAAAATTAGGGGCTCATTTGAGCAATTTCATATGTTTGCCCTCTATTGTGATGAATTTCTTTGAGAAAATTCTTGTGTAATCTTCTTCTATACTCAATTGTATCATAACATGTCTTCCGTCAAAATTACTCACCTGCCAGGCCCCAACTAGTTTGAAGTCTTCAAAAACCTTCCTGATAATTTTCATCTTTGGGTAGCCTAATTGGAACTTTCCAACTAGTGTAAATTTGTATTTTCCCACACGAGTTGAAATTTCAGCATAAGAGAAGAATATTGTTGGTTTTCCGCCTTTTTCTCTATTTTCTTGATGAGATTGCAATCCCCATGTCCTGCAACAGAATCATGGTACATATGCGGGAATATCGGACTATCTGCAAGGTGGAAAGGGGAGTTGCATTTGTGAACCACTATAGCATAGGAGGGTTTGGCGGGGTTATCACCGGCGAGATCGGCGGCGTAGGAAATCCCTGAGGCCATTAGCGTGTTTCACACAAGCACCGCAGGAGATTGTGTAGTGCAGCGGATGGCAGAAGCACAGCAAGACTGTGACTGCGAGCTACGTCTGTGCTTCTGCCTGCGACTGCGGGCAACGTCGACAA